GGATAGAACCAAAACGCGTCTCTTACTCTATCTTTTCCTAAAAGGCCCAACCCCCTTTCCCTTTTTTTTTTTTTTTTTTTTTTTTTTTGTGCTTTGGAGCAAAAGCTCAATTACACTATAGATTTTGTATTTGGCATTAACAACCCCTGTTATTGGAAAATAGAAGCATTCTCAACATGGTCAAGAAAAGCCCAATGAGGATGATGAGAATCATGCGGACCTCTTTAGAGTGAATGGAAGTAATGCACAACAAATAACTATATTTACCAAAGTTATTTCATCTTCACACAAAAATAAGCACCAATGTGATGCACTAATCCACATTAGTAATTTGCAAGGAAAATCTCAATATGAAAGGTGTTAACAATAACAAAGGAAATTAGTTGTTGATATTAACTACATATGAAGAACTATTAGAAACCAAATAAATTTTAAAACAAGTGAAAAGAAATCAGAAACCAATAAAAAAACAGTGAAGCACAGTGCTCTGTACAGAATAAAACCCAAAAAAAGACTTTCAATACGTACGATGAAGATAGTATGTTAAACAATAACAATAAGTAGGAAATACAATGATCTGTACAAAACAAAATCCAAAAAGTGACTTTCACTACAAACCATGGAAAATAGTTTGTTAAATACTTACAATAACCGCAAAAAATGATACAACAACAACAAAACCTTGATCCCATTGACTGGGGTCGGCTACATGAATCATTTTTCTCCACTCCATCCTATTTAGTGTCATATTTTCAATTAATTCTAATAAATTAAGATCATTTTTTATGCAATATGCCCAAGTCATCCTAGGTCTGCCTCTACCTTTCTTAACATAAGTCGAATCTAAAACATCTACTATTCTAATTGGATGATCATCAGATGGTCGACGTCACGTCTAATGTGACCAAACAATCTAAGACGACTCTCTCTAATTTTGTCTGTCACTTGAGCTACACGAACCCTATCATGGATAAATTTATTTTGCATTTTGTCTGTAAGTGTAAAGCCACTCATCCACCTAATAATTCTCATCTCGGCAACACTTAACTTAGTTTTATGCTTCTCTTTCAAAGACCAATATTCAACGCCATTTAGCATTACAGGTCTCACCACCATCTTATAAAATTTTCCTTTCAGTTTAAGCGGTATTTTTCTATCAGACAATCGGCCCGAAGCATTCCTCCACTTCAACCAACCAGTTTGAATTCCATTAATAACAACCCCATCAATATCACCATCACTTTGAACAATAGACCCGAGATATCTGAAGCATTCACAGCTTTTAATAATTTGATCACCCAAAGTAACAATTCTGTCACTAGCGCTACTACTATTAAAATTAGATTCTATGTGTTCAGTTTTAGTTCTACTCAAACGAAGGCCTTTAAACTCCGAGGTAGACCTCCATAATTTAAGTTTCTCCTGAGCTTTTCTCTCGTTTTATACACAAGAAGGATATCATTAGCCAAAAGCATAAACTAAGGTACATACTCCTGTAAATGTCTAATAAGACCATCCATAACTAAAGCAAAAAGATATCGGCTTAAAGTCGATCTCAGATGTAAACCAACACAAATAGCAAAATATTACTTTTGATTGGCCGCTGCTGAACTCTTCAAGATTATTTGGTCGGCTAACCATCCAACACTTAGCACTTCGTTTAAGTGTTAAGTATGTACCTCTTGTGTAATTGTGCTAAGTGTTGGATGGTTAATGAATAATTGATGAATAAACGATGTTTGTTAATAGAAATAAAGATGGTGGTTTCCTTTTAAAAAGTATGCATTTGGTTGGAATTTAATGGTTGAATCTGCAAACAGCCCATATGCCAATAGGCTTACAGAATGAATCCATTCGAATTGTCGTAGAGTTTTAACATTAAAAAACTATAGATCTTGCTAAGCTTACTATTAATTCTACGTATAATGAGTTCAAAAAAATCACTTGTATAGCATATCCATGATGTGCATAAAGACATTAACAAAAAATTGATTTTTAATTATGGTAATTATAAGTATGTTGTTGACATGAATACAATACCTAAGAATATTAAACCAAGTAATAAAGTAATCATCCTAAAAAGTACCCAACATAAAGCTTCAAGAAATTAATTGTGCACAAAGTAGGACAATAAGAAATCATATATGTACTGGGACGAATGATTATAAATTACAAATTTGGTGAAGCCCTAATATTAGCCCAAACTTCATTGTATCTAGAATTTTATTTCATAAACCCGCTATTACTAATGATTCTTCTCTTTTTAATCATCTTGTGGATTCACAACCAGATTTTATCATGAAGTTGTATGCATCTTATTCGACAAGCAGCTCGAATTAATGAGATTATGTCCACTACTTGTGGTTGAAATTAGAGATATCTTATGCATTTAATATGATTGGCATGCTTATGATTATGTTAATATGATCCACTATTTGTGGATTATTTTACAAGAAGCACATAATTATGAGCAAATTGACTTGGCAGATATCAAATGTTCAATTCATTGAAGCAATTTAATATTTTATAATTTAATAGGAAAGTGAAATTTTATGCTTGCGGAAAACACAGGATGTGAGTTATGGGACAATACAGCTTGATCTTAAAATGCTTAGATGATGATGTTACAAGAATGAGAAGTATTCTCTAATGTTTCAAATATTTGGTTAATTTTGATTTATCGTTTAGACTTCAAATCAGTTCATTTCATCTCTATCAATGCCTTGTTTGATCACATATCAAGCTCCATGTTTCAACCCAGTCATTGATTTGGAGGTTGTTATTATATTCTTGCAAACTAACTGTTTTTTTTTATCTAATGACTAATTTGGAAGGTTGTTATTATACTTTTCATGTGCCTAAATGTCTTCCTTTAGAGTGGATTCCGCTACTCTGTGTCCGGCTATTTAAAATTTTGTAAAGCAATTGGGATTTGGCTGCATTGATTCCTTCTCTTTCGCACTACAGTTCAGATTGAAGCTTAATATTACAGATCATGTCTCTACCTTGGGGAAAGTTTGCCCATATTTCATGTGTTGCTTCATTGAATTTCCATATTTTTTATCGTGCCACTTATCTAAAACTTATTGTTGTTACTGTGTTGTTTTCCTATTTTGCTTGTTGTCCGAGTTTGACACAAAATTACATTATGGCAAAAATCAGAAGTCATTGTAGTCAAGCTAGCCAAATCTGAAAATTGCTAGTATAGCCAAATTTTAAGATTATGAGAATCCATTGCGCGTCAATTTTGATTATAACATGGTCTCTTGGGCTTATTCAAAAAATTTTATATTTCCTCCAAACCTGTGTGTATCTCGGGATGTAAATTTTTCTAATTTAGTGTAAGTATTGCAAACTTCAAAGGTGAGCTTTCTACATGACTAACATTAGGCGCTGGTCAATCTTATGGCTTCTATCTTTGTAAATTTTTCATCTACATACTTTATGATTAATAATTTACATGTGATTGTAATTTGTTCATGCCTACAACAATCCAGTTTTCTACTGAGCGGTGTGAACCAAATCAATGTGATTTTGTATTGCAAATTTCATGCAAATTTTCAGTTTTGGCCTACCGGTAAATTATCATTTAAGGTGAATTTTATGTTTTATCATTATATCAAAAGAGGTAAAATCTTTGCCAAACTAAGCGTTGATAGATTATGATTTTTGTTCTTCTCTTCCCGTTTCTCATGCATTTCATCCTCAACTAGTATTGGGGAAAATCTAGAACCTGGGATGCCATGTATCAATACATAAACAAGCAGTTTCTGTCTTGCAACTAGAAAAAAATAAACGAAGTCTGTAAAACCATAAACTGATAAAATCCTGTATATGTTACCTTTGATAGCGAATTCTATGATAGATACTTCAAGGAAAAAAGAAATTTTAAATCAAGTCTGATTAAACAGGTACCCTGACAACATGTTTTAGCAATTATCAAAATAAGCAAAAATATTAAATTAAGGAATAAATTAAAATTAACCGCTGATATCAAGTTGCTAATATTTTGCTTTAATTGAATCAAGTAAGCTGAATTCAATATATGAAGAAAAGAATCTATCAAAGTACAAAGCTAAACAAGAGAATCATCAAATCCATGAACAATAAATTAAAAAAAAAAAAGAAAGAAAACTTACCTAGAATAAAACTCGGGATCATTTTCATCTCGTATGTCTGCTGGATAGCAAGCATCAACAATCATTCGCCTCCAAGAATTGCCACTTCTGATCCTCACTACATTCCAAGCATGCGGCATAAAATCTAGATATCCCCTAACAAGCTCACAAGGAACTGGAGGTTCAGATCGATCACATAAATACTGCAACATTGGTGATCATAATTGTGTTAGAACTACATGCCTTTCTCTATTAATCAAGATATTGTTCATTTATAGATTTTTAAGTACAATGCTTCCTTGCATTTGGGGGATAAATTGGGTGTGTATAAGTTTCTTAAGAGAGTTAGCAGTATAGTCCGATTCAGGTTCAAAATACTATTGCATTTGCAGTAAATAAAAAATCAATGGAAAATTAATGAGAGAAATGTCAAACTGATCCATAACTTTTTGTGAATGGTCATTTCAGTCACGAGTGTATAAAGTGTAAATTTAGTCCTCAGACTTTTTTAATGAGGGCTAACATAGTCCCCATGAAAAACTTTTTTAGGCTATATTAAAGGAATACAAGGACTAATTTTACACTTTATAAGACTCTCGTACTAAAATTGCACAACGTAAATAGTCAGGGCATTATTCTGTCACTTAAAACAAAAATTAGCTAACCTTCATGAGCACAGCTCTGTGCCTACAAACACCAAACTGCATAGCCCCTAAAGGAACTACACTAGAATTGCGTGTTTTTTTAATCATTCGTAGAGAATTTTCACACAATTCATTGAAATCAAATCCACCAACAGTTCCTTCTGCCTTTTTAGAAACTTTGCTATTGTCACAAAGGTTGCCAGCAGAGCACGTACAGATAAAGGGTTGCAGCTTATTGGATCCAAGTAAACTTTTTCGCAACCTTAAAACTGAAGTACTTCGATCACTTCCCCCAAAACAATCTGACACAAATAGAGCAAGAATTGATACGATAGGGAAGTCATCAAACACACCATCTTCCGCTGGAGCTAAATTACATCTTCGAAAGTTGGACAGAAGTAAACGAGCAGACAGAGTAATTGCATCTAACTCTTCATCCTTCTCTCTGATGAACAAAAATCAATCTGAAGGTGATTACATGCATGCCAAAGCCTGATACTTAATATAAACAAATTACATCAAATTCATCAGTGAAAAGTATGAATTTGCAAACCTGTCCAGAAGAATAACTTCACGTGAATCAATGCAAACACACTGCTCATATTCCTGCAATGACTTGAAAGGCCGATCCCTCCCTGCATCATAGAAGCCATCTGGAAGGTGGTCCTCAAAGCTACAGAAGGACTCCACGCAATATTTGCTGGCTAAGTATGAACAGTCAACAACGGGCTTACGAAACTTGGCTGGTTTAGGGTTGTCAAGATCCTTATCAGAATGCCTTTTTGATTTTGTGGTTAGATTAGATGTTTCAGCAAAAGAATATCTATCAATAACATTGAGCTCATCAACAGACTCATATTCACAATCATAGACCTTGCTTGACATAGCAGAATTTGTACTACAAGAACAAACGTCTCCTTCTGAAATGTCTGATCTGTTTAACCTGGTATCTTTTTCATTTTCAGAACAACCAAATTGAGGCAAAAGAGAATGTTCCCTAATAAGATCACATCTAACACTTTCAGCGTCACCTGTATTTTTGTTCGATGAAGATTTTGATTTTGCAGAACTATCTACTAATTTTATATCATCATCATCAACTTGAATCTCAGAATTACTATTTTCCACCACATATGATCTGCAGCAGTTACTTTCTTCACCCATGATAACAGACATATCATCAGTATGATCTGAAACTCTGCACTTCCTACTATAGTTCAAGCGTTCTTGACGAGCCCTCTGTTGGAGATCATCCCGGCGTTTCCACCCTTTCTTCCTTTTTTGTGACACAAGACACCGACAACTAGAATGAAGCTCGGTGCACAAAGCTGAAGACTTGCTGTGATAATCTGATACAGAAAAAAAAAATTAGACCACTAAAGTAGTAAAAACTTGCAAGAGAAAGAAAGTGATTCTCAATATTACCATTACTGCATGATCCACAGGCCTCGCCCTTAGGAATATCATCTCCATTTCCTTCAAGGTTGTAGTTAATCCATGATGGGATTTGGCAATGATAGGGAAGCTTGTTGTACTAAAACAGCAACATAGGTAAGTTTTATGGCTCCAACACAGAGAAAATTTAGTATAGAAAACTGCACATTGTGCTTTCAGGTCAAAATTTTTTAAAATTTAAAATAAAAACATTAAAAAGTAATTCAGCAATTATAGCCATACATTAAATTTAACAGCAATCACCAAAAAAAGTAACATGAAATACCTGAAGATTTAAATATTGGAGAGCATCCATGGAATTAAGTTTTAGAGATGCCAATGAAGTCAACCTGTTATTAGATAAATCCAATCTTTCCAGGCTTCGTAAAGATGAGATACCGGGAGGTAGATCAATTAATTTATTATTAGCAACTCTAAGTGATTTAAGAGAAACTAGGCCAGCTAAATCATCAGGTAGATTCTTTAACTTGTTGAAAGAAAGATCAAGCTCCTCAAGCATTTTAAGGTGGCCAATCTCTGGAGGCAGGTATCTGCAAATGGAAAAGGAAGCAAAATCACAACAAAATCTTGCATTTCTGATTTTTTTTGACTAATTTATTAGAAATCAATTGAAAATAACATTTATAAGTACTTAAACATCATAAAAATAAAACTTATTTCCTCAAAAAACAAATATTTGTAGCCTAATACAACAGGTGAGTATTGCTCTGTGGAAATTTGTGCGCCAAAACTGCATCAAATTTCCTGAGTACTGACTAAATTTCATCTAAAGATTCGTATGAATAACTTACAGCTTTCCAATTGAATACTCCCAATGTCAAAATTAACTTATAATTGTAGCTGAGTAGTCACAACAAACAAAATATTCCAACCAAAAAAAAAATATTTACAATACTTACAGCTACATAAAGATAGCTGACTGAAAAAAGCAGCTTCTATAGCAGCAACTCCGCATTTAAAGTTTTAAAGCATCGACTCAAAACATCAGAAATGATAATTGAAGTATTGAACTACAATAACACGGCTACTATCAATTTTTAAAAGAGCGAAATCTATACCTGCGGCATTTTGCCTCAGCAAAACAAGCCATAAACTTAAAAAAACATCAAGGTCTGACCCTAAAACCTTAAAAAAATGATAAAATAAAAGATAAATCATGAGTATATCATAAATTATGAACAATTGTCATCAAATAACACAAAGCCACATTAAAAAAAATCAAATCTTAATCTTAAATATTTTATGCCACCAACAAATTTCCAACATCCGACACAAATACCAAGGCATGACGTGGATCTTGATGCAGCTTTTCGAGCAAGAAACGTTCAAACTTTGATAAAAAGGTCATCTGGAAGTCTGATTTCAACAACCTATAGTCAAATTGATCGAATCAACGAGAAGGACCCAATGATATTAAAATTGGTCTAATCTGAGTCAAATCAAGCCTTGGTCAAGACATTAAACAAATTTTAGAAGCTTTTCGAGCATATTTGGAAGGTCATGTCGAATCTGGCGAGCTTATATTCGAATCGAGCATCTCGACAAAGACAAATCCAACGAGCCCAAGATAGCTCAATTCAAACATCATTAAAACACACAAATGTCCATCAAACACCCTCTAATCAAAAGAAGCTCTCTAAACCGTCCGATAAAAATGGTTCATATTCCTGCATTAATTGTTCTCTCTCTTAAAAAAGGGGGAGGAAAGCTTGAAGCTTGAAGAAAAGTTTGAAGCTTAAAGGAGTTGAAGTCCATTATCACCTCGTAGTCGACTGCCGCCGACCATCTCTTTGGTTGTCGCCAATCACTATCGTTCGTCGCATAGTTCTTACAACAAGTTCATTAGTGCACAGACGTTGTAACTCTGAAGAGTGTTCCACCCTTTCCCCATTACGAGGGGCTGTACATGTAATATCTAGTTTGTAGTGTATTTCTTCAGCTTGGCTAGGCCTCATGGATTTTTTTCCTTTCTAGGTTTTCCATGTAAAAACTCCTGGTGTCTCTACTGGCTGTTTTCTTTTATCTGAGTATGAGTTGAATTCTCGTGCAACGCTTAGACGATAATCCATTACTCTATCGCCGTGAATTTTCTACCCCGCATCAAATCTATAGTAAAAATGAGAAACTTCTTAATATATGAATTTATTTGAACCGTGATCGAACAAGGTTTAAACATGTTCAAACATTGCTCGAAATATGATTGAATATAGTACAAGACATGTCCGAACAAATATTCAAATCTTATTCGGGCCATATTTGATTATGAATCAAACAAAATTCAAACATGATACCAAATATAATAAATCATTGTTCGAACAAGGTACGAACACATATCCTACATTCCAACATATGGTCTAAGATATGTTTTAAAGAAATCGTTTGAAGGGCATGCATCAAAAGGTTTGAGGCATAAAGTCTCCAAGTAGATGCCTTAAAAGCGACGAGGCATAAAACCTTGAGGTGCATGCCTCAAATAAAAGGGTGCAAGCTTCACTAAGGACAATGAGTTGCAACCTCAAGGTTTTTTCTTGTGCTTCGTACTGGTGAGCATCTTGAGAAATGCACCTCAATTGATTTAAACCATGATTACCATTCACATTATAGCAAAACAATTACCAATAATCAAAGTATTTTATTTTTGAAAGTTTCAAAAGTTTTGGTAACAAGTATTCTTCTTCAGTTATGGTTACTTTTTTAATAAATTATATGATATGTTGGACACAAGTCCAATTACAAACCCATGAATTCCGCAAAATGGGCAATGAAACATGGTACCCTCCATGCATGTAGCTTCAAGGAGAATACTGTCTTTGGCTAAAGATCGAACCCATGGCCATTATCTTGAAAATTAGAGAGCATACTATCTAAGACAAAAACTTATCCTCACATTATATAAAATTAAAATTATGATAATGACAAGCACACATTTTAAAAATTAACATATTATTAACAGAAGATAACTAGTTAAAAATCCTTTCCAAAAAAAAAAGTGCACTCAACCAAGGATTTAACCTGATAATAAACAATGATTAATAATTACATGGTGCAAATTACATAATTAATAATCTATGGGATACTACCTCCTTAAATCCAACAATTCAGTTTGAATTCTTACTCTTTAGTTTAAAAAAGCCCTGGTTATGCCATGAAAGTTTTCTTGTTAGCAGAGATGGTTCCCTCATCCAAGAAACTTCACAAGGTCTAAGATTAGTGTGGTTTAGGGTTTGACTTGAGCTTTTCATTTTACTCCAAAAACTCAAAGTTTTCCAGGCCTAGGCATGTTTTTGAAATCAGATCTTAGCTCTAGAGAATTTAACTAAAAAAAACACTGACTCATCACAAACAGATTTTAGATTTTTGTATGGCAGAAAATTTAGAAATTTGTCTTCATAAGGTATTTCTCTCTCAAGAAATCTCAGGTTCCACGCTTCAAAAGATTTAATTTCAGTTATGATTTTTCATAAATAAAATGTATAGCGTACAAACAAAATGACAAAAATAAAATACTTGTAAGTTAACAAAAGCTCATCTCCAATTGCATATGAATAAGTTTTCACAATAGCAGATATCACTACAAATTATCCACAAATTCGTATTCCACAACATCATAAAGTACAAGTATACATTTCTTATATAATTGGCCAAAGCAATGGCTTAAAAAATTTGCAGGACAATAATCAACAGAAACATTCGAGTCCACAAACCACAGAAAATGCTTGATTGTTTTCTTTTTTAAATAAAAACTCAACTTTAATGAAGATTGGATTCCCTCATTCCTAAATGGAAAGAAAAGTCTGTTTTTGGCAATTCAACTGAACAAATCCAGCATTATGCAAAAAAAAATATCAAATTGATGATTTACATAGAGGACAACAAAATTTTGATAAGAAGGATAGATTGCAGCAAATTAAACAATGGCATCTAACTAAAATCCAGGCTTTTAAAAATCAGATGAAACTGACACGTACAGACCATATTGGATCAGTTTCCTCCAAATCAGTTTCAATAGATTTCATGTCAAATCGGTGAAATATTATTGAGTTCTAACCATGCTTCGCACTTCTCTAGGTATTATTGAAATCCATTCCGAAAATGCAACAGCTTTTCCCCTGTGTGTGGAGAGAGTTTTGAACATGGTCTTCCATGAATGTAAACAATGTAATAAACCACCAAAAAATTGCTTTATAAAGAGGATAGTAATAAAAAAATTCTATTAAAACAACTTAAAGTAACAAAAAACATATATTTTCTGCCTTAGATTTTCCTGTTGAATCAAATTTCTCTTGTATCAAAAGAAAAAAGACAATGTACACAGCCACCTAAATGTTCAATCAAGATAAAAATTTTAAAAATATATAAAATGATTATTATTAATATAAGAATATGTTGCATTACATGCTCATAGTTTAAGTCACCTCACTGGTTAATATGCTGAGTACATCTTACAAAAATTAATGACATCTTATTGTCTGGCATTATTGTAACGTTAAAATACTAAATACATAAAAGTACACGCACAAGTATAAAGAGTGTGATCATGTACATGACATTATCTCATATCTTAGATTTATTTTAACTTTGGAAACTATAACAATGATATTTTTTTTAAATATAAGACTTTAAATTTGTCGTTTTGATTTAATAGAGGAAGACACACATACCACTCAATTCTTATTTATTTACATATCTAACACCTAAACTTCAATTTTTACATGCATGCCACCTACCCTATGCATGAAAATGTGTTTTTAACTTTTAAAAAGGTTAAATGGATGTATTTTTAATGTGATATGAAAGATTTGAGTGGTATAAATGTAAACATTAAACTTTAAGTGTTAGATATATAAATGCATAAGAATTGAGCGATATGTATGTAAATTAAATGCCCATTTAATAAAATGGCAGAAATTGAAACAGAAATCAAACATCTAAACTATCGAAGCAAACTAGGACACTCGAAAAAAAGATTTTTGCAGTGGGACGGAAACCAAACCCAAAACCAAAAACGAAACTGAAAACCTTGGTGCGATCTATTTTCTTGCATTACCAATCACTTGGCATCGGTAGTTGCAAGGAAATAAAATAAATTAAAGAGCTAAAGAGTGTTCAGTGGAAAATGTAGAATGCAATAGTGCTTCAGTATACTCGTCAGCATATGACTGGAACCGAAACAGACTAATTTAGTAGACATAGCAAACCAAGCAAAAAGAAGTACCTAATTGAGAAATGGCAGATAGAAAGCTTGGTGAGGCATTTGAGGCCAGATATGTCCCCTAATATAGAGAAATCCGTGAGCTTTGGGGGAACCCTACAAAGCTCAAGATCCCTCAAAGACTTCAGCTTTTGCAACGAAATGCCAGATAAGCCCGGTAAAGTGACCTTCACCTGTAGACTCTCGAGCTGCTTGAGATCACCAATCTCCGGTGGCAAAATCTCAATCTCGTTAGCGAAGAACTTAAGCGTCCTCAGCCTCTTCAACCCTCCTATTGAGTTCGGAATTAAGTGGAAAGTATTGTGGTAGAAGTATAGCCCCTGCGTCGAAGAAGGAGGCGGCAGTCTCTCGAAAGGAGACAGGTCCCACGAATTACCGGAAACATCAACCACCTTCTCTTCACCAGATGGGGAGGAAACGGCGTCATCTCCGCCGTTCAGCCGCTCATCGTCGTTGGCGGCGTTGGAGTGGATGGCGACAAGTTCTAGCCGCCCGGTGGACTCCATTCCAATCAAAGAAGCCCAGAACCATACGAAGAGAAGGCCGGCACGACGATCGGGGCTTAGTAATTACAGTTTTCAAACCGCGAGTTCAGCGACTAGGGTTTCGTAGGGCGGTTACTGAATCTGAGAAACCCTAGAAAAACGCGAAAGAAAAGAGAGTAAGGAAAGCACTCAGGGCGGGCGCTCGCAGATAATAAATATATCGAAATTGAAGGGCAAACCTGAGAGGTATACTTCAACTTCAAACAACTATAGGAGTATTTGTTTTTTACATACTACCACCCAATTTTTATTCTAAGGCCTAAACTTTACTTTTTTACACATATCATTAAAATCTTTCATATCATATAAAAAATATCAATAAAAAGTGAAATTTTATTTTTTATATATAGATAAAATGATACATATGTAATAAAATTGAATTATGTGTAACGTCTGAATTTTTTTCTTTCATTTTCGTCCTTTCATTTTTGTCGCCTTCTTAAATTGCTCGTTTGAACTGATTTCCTCAAAACGCAACTCTTTTTCTTTTCTTTCTCGGCTATATGTCGTTTTTTAACTACTATCATTCTTGTCTATATATTATACTGAAGGATCAGAGCATCACCATTATCTCCCTAAGCTCCACTTATCCTCATCCTTATAGAACACACTTTCTCTCCATTTCCCCTTTGCCTCTTCTCCCTCCTGAAGTCCTAATATAATTCCATTTTTTCTCTATTGGCTTTCCTCGCCTCCTTCCTCTTCTCCCTCCTGAAGTCCTAATATAATTTCTTTTTTTTCTCTATTGGCCTTCCTCGCCTCCTTCCTCGATCAAGCTAGCATCGTACTGCATTTCCTTTCTTTGAATATAATATTTTTATAGAATAATAAGAATAAAAATACATGTTAATTTCATTACACCTAATTTGATAAAATAATGTCTTAAATTGTTTATGTACAAAAATCTTGTAGATTAGGCCTTCTACTTTGTATAATATTACTAGTTAAATCACTGAATGCTTAGAAATAATGTTTTTGTTGTCTTGAGGAGAGTAATTACTTTTTATTATGAGATAAAAATACACTTTCTAATTATTAATGTCATCCTTACTACTTGTATTACATTCATGGTAATTTTATAAGATTATCAGTCATATTTGATGCGTGCTAGAAAATTTGTGGCGGTAGAGTAACAAATTATTGTCTTAGCGTTGTACGAAAGTTTGCATACACACAGATAAAATAGAAAAAAGTGGTGATGACTCTAGAAGTTTTTACGTGGAAAACCCGTTAGGGAAAAACCACGGGGTCTGGCCCAGTTGCGGAAATCCACTATTGATTGATGATTACAGAATTTCATTGTCCCACAGACGGGAAATGATAATTATATTTTTCAGATTACAATGTCGACTGACGGTGTTTGGTTAGTGATGACTGATGACGGTCGGCGGTGGTCGACGACGATTGGTGGTGATGTGATTACAAAATTTCATTGTCCCACAGACGGGAAATGATAATTATATTTTTCAGATTACAATGTCGACTGACGGTGTTTGGTTAGTGATGACTGATGACGGTCGGCGGTGGTCGACGACGATTGGTGGTGATGTTGAGCTGCATCTTCTCCTCAAAACCCCAGGCTCTCTCCAGACTTCCTCTCCCTCTCATGAGAGGGATGGGACTTTATTCATAGTGTTCTAGGTGCAATTAATGCAGGAATATGAATCATTTTGATCAGACGGTCCTGAGAGCCTCCCTCGATCATATGGCGTTTAATGAACATTTGAGTGCCTTAATGATGTCTGAATTGAGTGATCTTGGGTTCGTTGGATTCGTCTTGTCGAGTCGCTCGATTTGAGTATAAACTTGTCATATTTGACAGTCATTAGACTTTTTAAATGTATTCATAAATCTTCTAACTGTGGTTTAATGATTTGATCTGGGCTTGATTTAACTTGGATTGGGCTAGTTTTCATATCATGAGATCCGTCTCATTGAACAGGTCAGTTGGACTATATGTTTGCTGAAATCGGAGCTCTGAATGATTTTTTATCAAGATTTGAATGTTTCTTGCTCAAAATATTATCTCGAGATTCGTGTCATGTCTTGAGATTCGTGTTGTATGATGAAAATTTGTTGATGGTGTATCAGTTGCTCCCCTATTTTCGGGCGAAACTTTTTTTATCGTCTGAAAATATCAATATCCACAGTATTTATGTATAAGAATATGTATATCTTACTTAGTTAAGAATAATTTTTATTCTTATATAAATAGAAAGCTGTACTCATCTTAGTTGGTTAGTATCTTTTGTTTTATGTTGGAGATGGGGGTTCGAATCCCGCCTAAAACAGAATAAATAATATTTTATAAAGGAATTTGACAGGGCAAAAGAGAAGGAATAAAAATTGAAAAAAAAATATTTTTTTTAAATATGAAAAGTTTTTATTCATTATTATTTATGAACATTTAATGTTTGCACAGTTTTTTATATTTATATATTAATGTGCATTTATTGACTAATGCTCTTGACTATTGCTCTTTTTGAGCCTATAAATAGGGGTCTGAAGGAGAGGGTAGAGGTGCGGCGGTGCGTCGTGGCGACGCGTTGCAGTAATGCATTGCGGCAGCGCGACGCGGCGACACTACGTGGACGGTGCATTGCGGCGGTGCGACATGGTGGGGCAATGTGTAGCGGTGACGTGTTGCGGTGGGGCGACGTGTTGCGCCACGGCGAGGCGTTGCAGCGACGTGTTGCGGTGTGACGACACGTGGCAGCAACGGGTTGCGCTGCGGCGATGCATTGGGACGATATGTCGCAGTGTGGCGATGCGTTGCGGCAGTGTGTCGCGGTGACACGTGGCGATGTGTTGCAGTAGTGCGTTGTGATGATGTGACATGTTGTGGTGATGCGTCCCGGAGTGATGACGCGTTGGGGCGATGCGTTACAGTGACGCGTTGAGTAGCGACAACGTGTTGTGGCGCGCGTCGTGGTGACTTGCAGCGTGGCGACAAATTGTGATGGTGCTTCGGGGCGACGCATTGCAGTGCAGCGACGTGTCGTGGCAGTGTGTCGTAGCGGCGTGCTGGGAGAAGTATCGCAGTGACTTGATACGTTGGATGTCCAATGTCATGTAAGAAGGTTACCGTGGGGATAAATTGTCAGCGGCTTTTTACTTGGCTGAGGTTATGCATCAGAGTATTACTCAGTGATGTGACTTATTAACCTATCCGAGGTTGTTTGCTGGAGCATTGCTCACTTATGAACATGTGTGGAATGGATCAGGTGTAGCCCACCAAGGACTGTTAACGTATCTAGGGTTATTTATCGAAGTAAAAACTCGGTGATGTTAACCCATTTGGAAGAGGATAGATCAAATCCCTCTGGAATTGATCGTGCTCTGACTGCGATACAACCATAGTTGTGTATTTCTTGGGCCAAGAGCATAAAGTGACTTGTGAATGAGCCGTTACACTTTCTAAAGATATTCTTTTTTTTGTAGAAGAAAACAAGTAAATATTATTTAATAACTCTGAGATACATTGACATTGTATGCAATATGACATAGATGATATAATTGAAGTGCTACCGGTAATGTTTCGGCATTCAAAGTCCGGGGCAAGATTTTTCCATCTGATTCTTTGAGTTTGAAGGTTTCATGCTTGATCATGGCAGCCACGATGTATGGGCCTTCCCAGAGAGGGGATAATTTGTTGCGTTGGGGACCATGACCAGCGTCTTCAATACTATGCAAAATCAGGTCACCAATGGAGATAGGTCGAGGCTCTACCTTTCGGTTGAAGTGGCGAGCAATTCTTTGAAGGTAGGAAGCAGCTCTGAGGTGGGCCACATCACATATTTCTGAGAGAAGATCCAACTGTTGTCGGAGCTTTTCTTCATTGCTATCTGAGGCGAAACTCTTGACTCGGGGGTTTGGAACTGCGATATCAACGGGGATGATAGTCTTGGTGCCGAGACACAAGTTATATTTGGTTTCCATGGTAGGAGTTCGTGCGGTGTTGTGATAGTCCCAGAGGACGTTATGCAGCTCTTCCACCCACTGCCCCCCAGCCTTCTCGAGACGAGTCTTCAACCCTTTAAGCACGGTTCAATTTATCACCTCTATCTGTCCATTCGTTTAGGGATGCGCCACAGCAGTGTGCACCAACTGAATGTGAAGATTCTTGCAGAATGATGTGAAGACCCTACCAGTGAATTGAGTCTCATTACCAGTGATAATCTTCGCAGGAAGCCCAAAGCGACAGATGATGTTTTTTCAGACAAACTGTTTGGCATTGGCCTCAGTGATCTTGGCAAGAGGCTCTGCTTCAACCCATTTGGTGAAGTAGTCGACAGTTAAGATGATGAATTTTCATTGTCCAGTAGCTATCAGAAATGTCCCCATGATATCTACCCCTCATTGGGCAAAAGGCCAAGGACTCAGAAAAGATGTGAGTTCTACTGACGGTGCATGCGTGAGATTGGAGTGTAGTTGACAATTCTTGCATTTTTGAACAAACTCTAATGCATCTTGTTTGATCGTGGGCTAGTAGAAGTCTTGCCTCGTTATTTTAAGAGCAAGTGTCCTGCCACCAAGATGCTCCCTAGGGCTATCAATTTGGCTCGTTGTTCGTGAACGACTCGTGTTCGGCTCGTTAAGCAGCTCGTGTTCGGCTCGCTCGTTAAGCCTAACGAGTCGAACATGAACAAATTTTTAAGCTCGAAATGTAAACGAGCCGAACACGGCCAACAAT